AGTAAAATGTTTATCAGGATATCAGCAACATTTTACTAGTTAGCCACTTTTTGATATCTTTCACAGAAAATGAGATATATAGGCTCAAAGTGGACAATCCGGGTGTCGTTCTATTAGAGGTTTTACGGTATATGTCTAATTTTTTTCATGTTTTTCGTTGAATTTTTCTCATGCTGAACCTTTTACTAAAATTCTAAAATCCCCAGCTAGTTTCCCAGATTCTTCCTCTCAAATTTGCAAAAAATAGGAGGATCCTCATTTAATCAGGTAAATTGACATTTCCTGCCATCTCATAAACCGTCGAACCAAGTAGTACATTACTTCTTCCTTTTCCTCTTCCCAGCCAGCCCACACAAAGTAATAAAAACGGTCATAAAACGAGTGGGATAATTGATTTTCGTACTCATGGGTCATGAGACGTGATTTTTAGAAAAGTTTGATTTTTTAAAAGACAAACCTGCACAGAATACTTGATCTCCCTTGGTGGAGTGAGTTCGTCCAGAAGGTTGATGTGATTAATGTCGTATTGAGTTGATGCATAATTATCCATGAGCAAGGAAGATGAGGAGCTCGAAGTGGTCGTTGGAGAAGTCGATGAATGTTCCTGACGAAGGTGCCTGTTGGCTTCTTCAGCTTCTTCTTGATCTTGTTTCTCATGTCCACGTCTTCTCGCATTCATGAAGAAGTTGGCGACGGTCGTTGGATCAAGTTGCAATTGTTGAGAAATTGTGATCTGCATCTCTCGAGATGGGCGCTTCGTCTCTTTGAAGATAGCTTGAAGAGTTCGTCTCTGTATATCCGTGAAAACTAAACGAGTCTTCTTTGGCGCGACAATCTGAGTTGCCGTAATAGTGGATTGCTCCTCTTTCCTTTTGCAGGCTGAAACTAATAAATAAACTCAACGTTCTATTTAAAGATATCTTACCAGCTAATCTCAAAGCGGACATTCTCTGAAACTCTGGTTCTTCCAACCACTTTGCCATTCTTCGGAACGTTTCCCGCCCGCTTTTCAGCTTCGACCATGGTTTTGGGTTCCGCAGAAGATCAGACAGAGTTCCTTGGGATCTGAAAAAAAAACAATTATTTCAGAATGATTGTTTCGTTAGCAAACCTGCAAAGAACTCTTTCGGCGAAAATTGCCTGCGGAATTGAATATCGTTTCAGTTCCGCAGCGATTTGGATGGACAACTCTTTTGTATTCAACTCTTCGCCATCGTCTAATTCGTCTTCTCCATGTCCATGGATCAAAGCAGCTGGTGATAATGCTTTTGGAGATTTGGTTGAGCAATCACTCTCTTGAAGTTTGGCAATGAACTTATCCGTTGAATTCATCATCGGCGATCGATTAAGATCAAATGACTCAAACGAAGACGCAGAGAACTGTTGAACGATTTCCGTCCCATGGTTACTGTAGTCAGACGGAGATGACGTGGAATGAGTCAATCCTGAGTAGTCGTCCTCTTCTTCGTACTTGATATCAGCCTCGTACTTCAGATCCGCTTCGTATTTGACTTCCGGCTCGTATTTGATATCTTCCTCATAGTTCGTTTCGAAACCAGCGCTGGAAGATGTTGGGAAGTAGTACGTTAGTGGTCCAGACTTTGGTGTTGGTGAGCGTCGAACAACTTGATGTTTCGAGTTGACTGTTGAGATTGGAGGTAGCGGTTGAAGATTTGTGAGTGTTTCGAAACCACTGAAAAATATAACATTTTAGTGCTTTGAATAGAAGTTCAATTTTCTAGTGCAGTTGGTAACAACAAGTGTGTCAAATCGAATCGATCATTCAATTTCGACCGCTTTCTCTAGGAACGGCAATTCATTTTGAAAAGGAGGAAAGGAGGGAACGGATGATTAGTTGTATGGTGTGTCATAGTCAATCTCAAAATGACTCGACCATCTGTCGCCTTTTCCTTTAATCATGTTTTCCCTCTCTTCCTCCTCTCGGCTTAGTGTGTGTCATGAAAAGAACCTCATGACCGGAGGACAAGAATCACAAAAGTGGTACGGCTCAGCGAGCAATTCAATATCTTATTCGCCTCAAACTAATAGTAAGATCAGTTTATCCTGTTCCAAAACAAAACAAAAAAAACTCACTCATAAATGTTCATGCTTGTTGTCCGTCCATCATGACTTAGTTCGATCTGATGTGCCACTACCATATCATCGGCAAAATCCATGAAATGGGCATCAATGTCACTAACTGGAGAGGTGTGATCCAGTTCATCACAATGATCATCAACATCATCATCATCCATTGTAAGCATTTCATCATGCATCTCATCGTGAATCGTTGAGCTGAGAGTCGCTGAAAGGAGCGGATCCGAACCCGAATTTGTTAATGCTTCCATGTCTGGAAAGCGAAATGAGTTATGTTCAGTAATCAGAGGAAGATTGAAAGCACGAGAGAAGAGATAAATGAGAGCAGCCTAAAATCGTATCGTAGGTCTGTTTATGGGTTAATACACTGCGTCACATAATTATAAGTTCACTTTAAATTTTGAATTTTTTCGAAAACTGGGAATATGGACTGAACAGGATTTGATTGAAGCAAATACTAATTTGGATTGTCAATTAATGAATACCATTTGAGACCGCTACCATTTCTTAAATTTGGCAAAATTGAAAAAATCGAAAAAATGGCCCGAAAAAACGTCACATAAGTATAAGTTCACTTGAAACAATAAAAGATAACTCAAAACACAGATTCTAAAATTTAGTGAAACTATAAAATATAGTGAAAAGAGATCTTAATAATTTTGTTTATGGGAGGAATTACGCTGTACCTATAATCATAATTGAGCCACATCCGTTTTCGGCCAGCTTACACTGGAAATGAACTTTTTCGTTGATAACTGTTCAGAAAACAGTGCTGACTCTAAATTTTTGTTTTTTACAGGATCATTCCCAATTGTTTCACACAGTTAACTGTCAAAAAACATGAGGCTGATTTGAAAACCGAGAAAAATTTCTCATTTTTGCACAATTTCACAAGTATGTTCCGAGTGGTACTGTGTCTTCCTCGGCAGACATCTGATTGAGCTGACTAGCATAAAAGAAAAGTGCACAAGTTTTCATTAAGGAACATACATAAAACCATAAAAACCTAG